AAGTCTCACGCTTTTCCCACGCAGTCGGTCGCCATCCTCAGCCACGGATCTTCTCCTGGCGGAAGCTTCGAGCTTGTCATATTTTTTTCAGAGAATCGCATGACATGCAGGTCCGGCCAGCATCAAGAACAGCTGCCGAGCCCGCTCCCTCGGAACATCACAAGCCAAATCTGCGCCGATGCGGGTGTTCCTTGGTGTGTAAGACTTTCAGAATCGCACGAAGCCCCCATGCGCCTCTTTTCGGTGGAAAAATGCAATTCACAGCGGCACTTCGAAGAGGCAGATCCTACCATCCTTGGCCCACAATGTCAACAGTTTCGCAGCACAGGATTACTGACACGCTCCCTGCTCAGGAAGAGTCTGGCCGGATCTTGTAGTTGAAATTCAGAATGCCATCCTTGCGTGTCGGGATCGCTAGGCCGCTGGGAATGATTGGAATCGCGCAGAGCACTGAAGACTGAAGCCAGGTGGCATATTCGCCAACAAAGGCGGCCTCAGACTCTCAGTGCCCACCACAGACTGAGGCAAGCTCCGGCTATGAGGTGCTCAAGGCATCGCAAGAGAACTCAGCAACGTGTGTTGCGTTGTGACTTGTCATTTACTGTCGCAGCTATCAGCAGATGCAGTCATGCGCGATGCCTGTGAGTCGTCTGTTCTTTTCAACTGGTCAAGTCAAAAGGATACCAAACGTCAAGGCAGGCTGCCAGGACATCGATGTGCTGTGGCGGAACTTCGAAGAGCTCCTTCCAAGCTTCGTCACTGGCTCACTCTACCACCGTAAACACTCGTCTGTCCTTCTTCAGCTCGACAACATTGGGCCAGATGTAGATGCTCCTGTCCTCGATTGCTGGAGCAACCCTTCGGCCACTTCTGCCACCATACAAAAAAAAACATCCTGGAGGCCTCGACTAGACACCTGCAGCAGACCTAACTCGTGCTAGCACCAAGTGTCGTAGGTGTAGCGCATGCCCACCACGTCCAGTATGGATCCCGCAGAGACGAGCATGGACACGGACAGCTCCACGCTGCCGGGGACAAGCTCTTGCAGCACCCAAGTCGCTTCTCGTTCCGACTCGCCGAAGTCCGGGGCATGGCGGTGCCTCGACTGCAGCACCCTTCTCGTTGCATTCGTTGCTGCCATGAATCCCACCGTCCAAGGTGCACATCCTGCCATGTCTGGCAGATCCAGGAGTTTTTGCCGAACTCGCCCTGAGCCGGAAGAGTATTCCCACCATCTCTTGAATCACACCGTCACAGTCGTGGGCAACGAGGCCTGCGATGGTTTCAATATGCATGGATACCTTGCTTCCTGAGGCTTCGCGAAGTGCCGTGGAAGGAAGTCCTCCGGCGCAACACGGCGAGAACCAGGCAGAGTCGGAGCTCTAAGCTCAGTACTTAAGCCGTGCTCAACAAGGAGGCTCCAGCTTTCCAATCTTGGCGGCGTAGCCCGGAAGCTTTGCCTTCTGGAGAAGCTGACAGAGGGAACAAATCAGGAAAAGGAGGAAATCAGCCTGATTCGGAAGAAGCAGAATGCGAGCCTTGTCGCCCAGGCTCTCGATAATGAGGGGCGGCGAGGTAATCACTTTCCATCCGGCGGCGCGCAAGGGTTTCCGGAGCCTTGCAATCCTTAGAGGCTTCCCATTCCGCTCAGAACGACAGCATCAGCTTTCGCAATCCCGTGTACCTGAGCGCCATCTCATCACTGCAAGGCAACAGCCATGGACGGCCTGGCAGAAAAGCGCACACCGAGGCGGACAGAGCGAAAGCCAGAGGCTGACGGAGCCTCCTGGCAGAGGCACAGGATGACTGCCATCCCATTCGAAGGTATTCCGAGCCTCGACTTCGAGAAGCCATCTAAACACACCACAATGAAGCTTAATGCCTGTGGCCCCGACCGAAATGTCCAGGGCGCGAGCATGGCCATCCCAGCCTGTCTTGCGACTCTACCCTTTCCTCATCAGAATCTTTCCGTTGTCAGAGTGCTTTGCCTTTTGGTGGGACCCACTGGAACCGCTTGACATCCTGACGATGGGCATCATGACGGGAGAAGCAATTGCAGCCACCCCCGTCCTGGGCGAGTGCCTGCCCGCAAACCACAAGGGACGCCGCCGGACTCACCTCCTGGGAGACGCGGCTACAGGAGGAGAGGGAAGGCTGTAGAAAGCAGCGTCTTTCCGGGCCTCGAGGTCCTCACTCTCGCGCGAAGGAGAAGAGCCCACGGAGCTCGCGGAGGAGAACTCCTCGAAAAGGAGGGAGGAGGGTTGAGGGTGAGGCTCCCTCTTTCAAGGGGAGACTCGTCAGCATGTATTGCGCAAACAGATTTCTTTGAGCGTCGACCGGCCATTCGAGGTCATCCAGACGCCCACAGTGCTGGCCTCAACAAAGCGCACAAATCTCCTCCAAGTGAGGCTTGACTTTGATCCCTGTGCCGCCAGTCGTCAAGAATCCATGCAGTGAGGGTGAGGGTGAAGGATGAGGGTCACTTCACGGCTCTGGCGGGAGTTCAGCGTTGCTTGGTGAACCTCTCCACTCCGAGATTGGCAAAGCCATCTAAGTGCAGCCAAGACGCAGGACGCCCTGATGCCCATCGTTGGTTTGAGCTGTGGACGCTTGAGCCCAGAACACGCAACAGCTCAGATCGAAGACGACAAAGAACATCAAACGGACAAAGTGGGATGAAGCGCTCACAAGCTGCACCAGGACAAGCTAAGCCGGCAGTGATTGTTGATCACAGAAGGCCGAGTCGTGAGCCCAGCGACGCCCCCACGACCGGCATAGATGGCATGGACACGGGGCTCACCGCCCAGCCGGAACAGCCTGGCCTGGCACAGAATCCAGCGCTTCCAGCTTAGCTCGTGACTAATGTCCACCAAAACTGCGGCAGGGAGCACAGGACCCCATTGCCCATGTCCAAAGGATAGATCCTTGGTGCGTCATATCCGACAAGCATGGTCTTTCCAATGATCCTGCCAGATTCGAAATGTAGTTTGGCTCCCAGATGGCTAGTTGCAGCCACAGGGTCCACGGGCACAGGGGCATGCCCGGGACAGTCGCCACGCTCGAAGCACTGGGTGCAGTCGACTGGCCCATGGGAGAGGCAAACGAATGACTGAAAAATCAGGCCAACACAGATCCAACATGTACCACTGGATCGTACGTACATGTACACTCCGTGGCTGGGCTTAGGCTAGTCTTGCACGCACGAGTACCATGCATTCCTTCATCATCACCTCCATCGGCAGCATCGGCACCACCATCACCGCCATCGACGTTTGCTTCTGAGATCTTCTGAGTGATGGGTTTGCAGAGATGCTGGTCGTCTGTCTCCCCCATTTACCCATCTGTCCTTTCTGACCCAGGTTCTTCTCACCCTGTCCGGCAGCGTTCATTCATCCATGACCCCTTTCGGCTGTCTCAAGCTGCATGTGCAGCATCTCCTGTTCGAAGCAGGCTGCATGCACAGGCTTGCTCTCTGCCGGAAGGCTTGTTGGTCAGAGTTTAGTCGTTTGTGATCGCCATCCAGGCATGCTTGAGTATGAATGATGATGGCTCATCGAGGCACAGATGCGTAAAGAGCACGCAGGAACGGTAAAGGACCGAATGCATTACGGGTGCCTCGCCCAGGCTTTGAGCCAGCAGTACATCAGTGGCTGCACACTGCACAACGCTCAATCTCCTTCAGTGATGGTGAGGGTCGTACCGATAGCCAGATGTTGTGAGGTCGTAGTCGTTCTTTGTGTAGATTGTAGTTTTTCCGATTCTGGGCGTTCCCTCTAAGCTTGCTTGTGGGTCCATCTTCTTTGCCGTCTTTCACTCCTCTTTGACATCCTCTCAAAGAAAGCATCCGATGAACCAACGGGATGTGGTTAAAAGTATGTGTTGTTTGTAAATACATATGTACTTATCTATGCATTTATATATACTCATATATATATATATGTCTCATATATATATATATATATGCAGTCATACACACTACTGCATGTCTGTTCTGTTCTGGAAATGGCCCCGCCTTCATGGCCAAGGTGGGGTCCATCATCCGGCCCGTGAGGAGATTGGGCAAGGGAGCCTCTCAGGAGACGAGAGGGTTTGGAGGGATTTTCTGCGCCAGGGCACAGGAGTCGACCAGGTGGCAAGCATTGTGCTCGAAGCACGTGTCAGTCACGGGAAAAATGGATGGGGCATTTGTCACTACAGGACGGGCCTGCTGAGGCTGAGAAGCTTGTGGCAGCTGCTGGGACTGTGCTCCAAGGGACTGCTGTAGCAGCAGCGTCCTTGGGTGACAAAACTTGCCTTCACTCTCATCATCGCGTGTCATTCTGCAGGCATGCTGCTGGATAGTCTGCTGGTTCTTCTGGTTCAGGAGCTGCTGTTGCAGCTGCTGTTGCCTGTTTCGGTCAGGATGGAAGGGCGCTGGACTCGAGATCCTTCAAGACACCCTAGAATAGTCTCAGTTGTCCTGCAATCCCGGAATTGGTGCAGCCTATACAGACATCAAGCTTCGAGTCGTTCCAACACGCCGGGTGAGCAGTTGCTGTTGCGGGAGCGGCTGCATCGACCTGGCAGAGGGGACGGACCACTCGCGCTCACCGCGCCGCAAGCGCCCGCAGGCACTCGCTTTAGGAGCTCTGGGTCACGGGCACGGGGGGTACTTGGCCAAGGCTTCCAACTTGCACGTGCATGGGCATCGCGCTCTCGAAGCCCTTCGACACCTGACAAGGCTAAGGGACGCCGAAGCGCCAGAGCACGACAATGTCGGCGGCAGGCCTCCGTGGGAGCCATGGCCAGCTCCATTGCTCCTCCTCAGCGGTTATAAGGCAGAGCCAAGATGCGGCGCTTCGGGGTAGCCCCCGGTCCCCCTGCGCCTGGTTGCAAGCGGCTGCAGAAGGCGAAAGGCTACGGCGGCTTCTAAGCTGAGCCGAGAGGCGACACAAAGCACGCAGGGAAGCGTCCCGTTTGGCGACATTACGATTCGCGGCGAGTGGGCACATGACGCAGGCCTTTATGCCGTTCCCAAAATCCGCCAACTTCGCGAAGGTCTGCAGCCGTGGTTCTGGTTGAGTCCGTGAGTGCTTCAACTTGGCGCACTTCGGAGATGCGCGTCGCCTCCTCGAGCTGAAGGTTCTCGAAACGATCTCTTTGTCTGATTGGAGGTATGGGCCTCGAGTTCGCGTCTCTGGCCATGCTAGCCTGTCGTGTCGCAGCTCGGGCACCCGGGAGCACGACTGCCCCGGAGGTGCCTCACCCGGAACATTGCCAGCTGCTGGCACCTCCCCTGCAGCTCGCGACTCGGGCAGAGAACGGTTGCAAACACCCAGGACCCAGGACAAGTGTAATTGCCTTCCGGCTTCGGATATCCATCGCCCTTACCCTTGCCGTTCACGCTGTTCACGCCGTTCACCACCTGAAGGTCCATGGAGAAAAGGCAAGCTTTGCTTCTGACGGAACTTCGGCCTCTGCCTGCGGAACCTCGGCCACCTCCGCCTCAACCTGTCGGGAGCACCCTGCTTCCCCTAAGTTTGCAAGGACCACTGCCACTGTGAAAGAGCATTCCGAAAGGCAGGAACAGAAGGCCACATGACACGCAAAGCCCTCGTCAGTCAATGTTGCTACTGTGCTCGATCGGCATTCATCAGAGAGCCTGCTGACTGTCTGGACTTCCCGCCTCCTCTGCCGCAGCCTCTGTCTTGGGGTCTTCGGAGCCAGCGATGTTTGCGTCCTCTGCACGACCAGTGCAACTTCAGCACTTCCCACTACAGAACCAGGCTAAGTCACTAAGCAGTCCTTGGCTTTCTGCTTTTTCTTCATTCGCTTCTTCTGGCCTGGAGAGCTACAAGACTTGCGGTGGCCGCGGACTTGAGGACTTGAGGACTTGAGGTCTGAGCTTTTTGAGAGAGTCTCCAGGCCCGACTTCTGCTCCTGGAAGGCTCGATGAGCCCTGGATGCCTCGAGAGAAAGCACACGTCTCCCCAGAGCGCCCTAGCCCCAGCCCACTGAACCTCTTGCACGAGCACCGACATGTCGTGGCGGCATATGAGAACCTTGCGACTGGACTTCCAACTCCTTTCCGAATTCTGGCGCCTCTCACGTCGAATCACCGTAGTAGAGTCTTAGCAGAGCATCTTGGCCCATGACATTCTCGAGCTTCACCTTGCAGATTGCTGCTTCCATCTTGACACTTCTGCGCACTCTAACGGAAGACAGGAAGCATCCGTGTGGATGACACCGCGCGCATGGATGTGCTGCAAGCCTTTCAGCGTGTGCCTCTGCATCGCTTCGGGCAGACGATCGTCAACGCCCAAACGGACGCTCGGTGCAGGCTAAAGGCATCTGCGCAAGCTTGCAAAGCTCCTCTTTTTCCGTCCTTTCACGGCTTCGCGGGCGTTGCGGGCGTTGCGGGCGTTGCGGGCGTTGCGGGCTCTGCTTGGCGGGGCCTGGAGCAGGGCCCAGGCCCATCCAGGCTCTTCGCTCGCTCTTCGCTCTCGGAATGCAGCCGAGCCTCGGCTCCCTGGAGCCGGAGCCACACGGGCCTCGTCCGGACATGCACAGAACTCTCCAGTTTGTCTCTTTGGGTACGAGTTTCTGTCTTCGTCTTCGAGCTTGGCCTCCGGCCGGCCAAGCCGACCCCGGCCAAGATCGTGTCGGGCCCCTGCCAGGCACAAGGTTCCCACGGGCATGGAAGCGGCGACAGTCGTGGCGAGTCTGAGGTGAGTTCCAAGTCCTGGGTTCGATTCTTGAAGTGCTGCCTTGCAGTTCGCAAGAGCTGGAGGGCACTGCCACGAGCTGCTGCTGCAGACTACATCGTCGCACCACAAACATAACCGTTGCATCCAGGCACAGCAGCTGCAGGAGCAACTCGGTGCGCAACCTGCATCTCACGTGGCACAAGGAAGAAATGATGTTTTATGTGGAATCGACTTGAGAACTGGCCTCTGCTGCTTCAGGCCTTGCATGTATTGCTCGCGCTTTTGTCTCTCCTGCCGAGCACATCGGTGCAACGGGCTCTTCTTGGTTCCTGTGGGCTTGTGCCTCACAGTGTAGTAATGTACCGCTCTCCTCGTCAATAAGGCGACAGAGACGGGCGATGCCACCTGTGTTCACCAAGGAAATGGAAGAGATGTGCCTTGAGGCGTGTGGTTCTGTGGCACTGGCCGTGCGACTCTTGCAGCATTTGTCTCAAATTGCTGACTTTCTCGCCTTAACACGCCGGCAAAAGCATGGGCACAAGGCGCTCCAAGCCACCAAGGCCCGAGCTGACGTCGCGGGAGAGAGCCAGCTCCCTCTCCACGCGCTGCACGCGGTCGCACTGGACCTGCAAGGCCGCTGCAGGGCCGCTGCAGGGCTGCCATGGCAGAGAGCCGCAGCGGGCCTTGAGTTGGCCGCTCACCTCCTCCATCTCCTCCTCTGAAGAAAGTTAAGTCGTCCCTCTTTAAGCACTTACTCGTTCTTTCTCCAGGGCTGGGGGAGAGGGGATTGCTCCTCTCTTCTTCCACACAGTCAAGAGCACGGCAGGCACCGCACTCCGCGCGCGTACGCGCACTGGTTGTCTGGCTTCAGTGTGAACCCCATGCTCGATGCTCTCTCTTCTTCTACACAGCCGAAGGGAAGCAGGACGACCCCCGCTCCCCCCTCTCTCTCTCTCTCTCTCTCTTCAGGCTCCTGCATGCCAGCGAGGCTGCTGCGGACCTCTTGCAACTCTGTGTCCTTGACCTCCAAGCTTCACGGACAGATTCTGCGCCATGATTGCCGCATCCCACGGCCTTGAGTTCGTGGTCACGCTGGCCGACTGTGTAGGCCACTTTGCTGAGCCTCAGGAGGAGAGCAGTCTGATGCGCCGCTCTGCACTTCTGGTTTGGGCCGAGGATCTCGTTTTGCAGGGCTTTCGACTGACCATCCAAGCCGCGCTGGCTCTCCTCGCGGGAAGCTCCAGTGAGAAAATACGGCAGCAAAGCTGCTCTGCACGCCTCGAAGGCTGCGACCTCCGACAGCCTGGTCCGGACCTGCCACAGAGGCAGACTGCAGACTTTGGCAGAGGCGAGAGCCGAGACTTTCGGGCCCGGACCTCTGCTTGCAACGCCTCGGCCCCCCAAAGAAAGAGAGAGCTGCTTCGGGTCTTCGGGTCTCTCTCCCCAAACTTGGCTTAGCCCCTTGCCTCCTGCTGGCGGACGGAGGCTCGGGACTCAGCCAGGTAAGCCTTCCGAGCTGACAGGCTCGACTCCTCGCCATCGAGACTGCGGAACCCAGCCTCCTGGGTCACGAATGCCGCCTCGCTCTCGCTGTCTCGCTCTTGCCTCCGGAGGCATCAACCAATCACAACAGAAAGGAGGGGACCGAGGCAGAAAGCCTCAAGATCCGAATCTCGTCGCCGGCATCTAGGAGCTCCTCTCTCGAGACATCTGGAGACCGAAACGGAATCGCATCGCAGGTAGGTCCTGCTGGAGAGAAGCCATGAGCTGCTCAGCTTCCTGGATCTCGGTCTTCTGCTGCCAGGTGGCCTTCGGAGAGAAGGCCACAATGCCGGTTAAGACACCTACTTAGACGGAAGAAGAACCGAACCAAAGTCGTTTCCCGCCCCCCCCTCCCGCTGCCGCTTGCGTCGCACCTGGTCGGCCTCGGCCCGGAAGGCCGCGGAGTCCTGCAAGGAAGGCCCCCGCAGGCCCCGAAAAAGGTGGCCTCGCAGCCCCGCAGGCCCTCGTCCTCCAGCAGCAAGACGGCGGCACCCGGCTCGTGGCTGTGCGCCTGCGACATGGAGCGAAGTTGCTCTCCATGACGCTCCCCCTGCCGCGCACTCTCCTGCAAGAGCTTCCTTTCGCTCTCCTCCGCCTGGAACAGCTGACCTCTGGAAGGGCCACAAACCACAAATCGGGCACTGGGATTCGAAGTACTAACTACACTTCCAAAGTCCCGAACGCAAGAGCTCCTCGGAGTGCTGCTCCTGAAAAGTTCCAGCAGTCAAAGGAGCTCCAAGCACGTCAGCTGCACGAGCGCAAAGGCACCTCCAAATGCTTCTGCTGGGCTTCCAGCTCCTCTGGCCATATATATATATATATATATATATATATATATTTATATATTTATTTATTTATTTATTTTATTTATTTATATGATTATATATACACATATAATATATATATATATATATATATATATACATGTATGTATATAGTAGAACGGAGGCAGAAGCAGGTCACATATAAAACAAGAAACACCAGAGACGCTCGCACTCGCCCCTCTCTGCGCTCTGGGCCGCTCCGTAGCGTGGGAGGACTTCGCTGCTCGAAGCTCCGACTGCAGCTCGTCCTCACGTAGGCGCGCCCTCGACTACAAACACATCCTCGCTTTTGTTCCCCTCTTCTTCTCCTGTCGATGTCGCAGGTCGACCGCTTGCAACAGTTTGGCAGTGTCTTCCTGGAGCTGCAGATCCTGCGGCACACGGATGCACAAGCACGGAAGGATGAAGCAATGGCCCGACAAGATGCAGTTTCTCCTTCTTGGCTGCCAGGCCACGGTGCTTCGACAGCTCCACCTCCCGAAGGACATGCGCGCGCAGAAAGAAGGGGCTGCTTTTGTCTTCTTCGTCTCAAAATAGAGACCGGCCTTGGTCTCCTTGAGCCGTGAGCTTGCGGCATTAAAGAGAGGCCTCGGCCCGAGGCGCCAAACTTCCGGCTGCCGCTGTGTTCGCAATGGCAATCCAGTCTGTGAGGGGTCGCGGCATTTTCTTTCGCCACGCCTGAGTTGTCGAAAGAGCGACACGGGACAGGCTTTCTCCTCGAGTTCCCGTAGCCTTCAACCAGCTGTGATCTTTGCAGCCTTGGAGCTGGATTAGACCCAGTTGGTACACGGTCACTACTTTCTGCACGCATTCACAAACCTGGCTCTGAGGGTGCAACTGGACGCTGGACGAGGCACCAGACAGAGTGGTCATTATGTCGGGCCATGAGTACTCAAGATGTTGCATGCGAAATCTAGGTCCCGGTGACTCTGGTCGAAGCGCTCCGCTAGAAATCCCCTAAAGCGTCGTTGTGGGTGGGGCTTGCAGGCGGGCTAGTGACTTATTCATTGCGAAGTGTGGTGCATTGCAAGCACATCTCCTCACGTGTCCCGTGCATGTTTGACTTGAACAGCTGGCAAACACCGGCGTCTTCTGCACGCAAGTTGAGTGCCGTGTCCAATCTCGCAAGCCTTGACAGACGTCGACAGAGGTCTCGGGGAAGGCCCTCGTAGTTGTGGTGCCGGACCTGGAGTGACGAAACAGCCAACTTGAGCAGCACACAGTCTGGAGTGCCCGACCAACGCCAACAAGTTCTCCCCCATCACCTTCGGAAGCGCCGATGAGGCACTACCGAGGAAACTGAATGCATGTCGCTGACCGAAGGAACACGGACTCAGCCTCAGCTGACCAAGATCCAGCCTCGAATGTCATGCACTTGTGGCGACCATTCGTGCCGGTGTGCCAGAAGTGGTCCAGCATCTGAACGGTAGCATCGCATCAAGCGAGCGCCAGCAAGCGCAAGCGAAGGGATCAGGCCTTCACCACGTGTGGCGAGCTGCCGTCCTCATGTAGCCTGCAGTGGAATCTCCTCACAATGACCATAGCTTCGACCAAGTGCAGCCACGTCGCCTTTCGAGTAGCATGACCTCATCTTGAGCCTGAAGCTTCTTGGCACGGGAACAAAGCACGCATCGAGTTTCTCCAGACCTGCTCCGTGACGCTCTTCTTCGACTTGCACACCTAATTCCGTGATAGAAATTTTCCGTGATGTTCCGTCCCTCTTCATAGCTAGCGGCTAGCGCCTTCATGGCGATCAACCGTGGCTCTTGGGAGGAGTCCTTCTCATCCGTGCAGAGCCAGACCTGATCTCTTCAGCGAAGGAAAGCTTTCGCCGAAGAGGGCCCCGAATGCCCCAAGACCCCCGGCAGTCGAGAATGCACCAGCGCCCAGCTTGGACAGCACGCGATACCTGCACACTACTCCAATGCCTGTGCACGTCCGCTGCGCGTGGAGCTGTATCCACTTGAGGCTCGCACCGTGCATTGTAAAGCTGGTACGGCATGACCGGGTGATAACCTAGCACTTTCAAAGACCAGGCTTCGCAGCGGCCAAGCCATCGCACTCCGGAGCCTCCCCTCTTGTACTCCTTGGGGTCGTCTTCGTCCGAGTGTTCCGGGGACGAACTGCCCTGGCTCAGGGAACTTCAGCACTGCACTGCACAGCACAGGTCTGAGGACCGGGCATCACTGCCGTAGCTACTTTCGGAATAGCTCGAGCTCCTCGTCGAGCTCCGACGAACTGGCGCTGAGGCCGAGGAGCTAAAAAACAGAAAGCGATGCACGCACCGCACCCAGGTGCCGTGCCTGGCTTCGCCGGTGGCTTCTTCTTTCCCTTCGCTTTCCGCGGGATCTCGGAGCACAGAGCAAAGCTCGGGTCGGAAGGCGTCCAAGGCAAAGGGCGGGCCTTGGTCCGCCGCGGCGGAGGCATCTCGGCTCGGCGGCCCTCTCTGCCCTCTCTTAACAGGCGTTCTTTTTGTCTTGCTGAGCTTTGGGATGCTGTGGGATGCTGTGGGATGCTGTGGGCTCAGGGGGATAACTCTTGCAAGTTAGGGGGGGCCGATGCGACGATGCTATGTGGTTGTGCTGTTCTTGCGGTGTGCACGGGGATCGACGGGGATCGGCAGCCATTGGTGAAGGATGTGAAGGCTCATGCTCTCTGTGCAGCCCACCCACCGGCCTTTGGTGCATGACATGCTGCAGGCCACATCTGATGAGAGTCAATCATGTTCACAACGAGAACCAAAGAACCCGGGCTCCTGAACTTAGTGCGAATCTCGAAACCTGTGGTACAGTTAGGCCGGGATGGCTTCTACTCACAGGTCGCTGATCTGCACGCTGGCCTTGCCATGCCGTGCTGCTTCGGACGGGACTCGAGGACGATGCAGAGCGTTGATACGATGCGACAGCTTTAACGAAGAGGACCTTTTGCCAGATCCGTCCCAAGCCATGCTATAACAATAGCAAAAATAGCAATAGTAGCAAAAATACTAATAGTAACAATAATAACAATAATGCTATACCACATGTGTGAGGTTTGGTAGTAGATGATAATGTGGATTATCAACGCTGCCAGCAAGGACGGCAGATTTCGCCCCACAGTTCACAGGCAGCCGGAAACACTGGCATACCTTCTCGGTTCTCAGACCTTCTGGACATGCTTTTTCCATAGCGGCACAGTGTCAGCGGGCTAGGCTTCTCGGGTGGCAGCGTGCTCAAGTTCGGCATCTTCACGGGTGCTTCGTCGAAGCCGGCACCAGCTCCGAGGCAGTCATGTATTGCAGGCTGCTTGCAAGCCCACGAGGACCTCGAAGTCGTGTACCCGTACCCTGTGCACACACCTTCCAATCGATCGAGGACGTCGCGAGAGCTTCCCAGTGTCTAGGTCAGGAGTTGAGCACATCGTCCCATGCTATCTGGTCCAGTGCCTTGCGAAAGTCTTCTCCAGGCGGCTCGGTCACGGCACAACAAGTCCCTAAACCCCCCTCTCGGAAAGAAACGCGGAAGCGGTGCAGGGCGTTCCTCTTCCGCGGGAACCAGAAGCAGTCCCTTTCGAAGGTCTCCTGCGCGGTGTACTTCCCATCACAGACCACCGGAAAACCCACGTAGGCGAGATGACTCCGGATCTGATGCCGACGTCCGGTGCGAATGCGAATCTTACAGAAGCCGAAGGAAGAGCCCTTGCAGCTGTGCACCGCTCGGACTCGGGTGAGCTCCGTTCGCGCCGGCTTCCCAAAGGCCCCGCTTCGCGTGGGCGTGGGGCCCAGGGCGTCGCTCGCGTCGCTGAGCCAGGAGAGAGGCGCCTCGATGGTCAGCTTGGCTGAGATGAGGCCATGGCAGAGGACCACGTAATCTCGAAGCAGCCTTCCCGACGCCAACTGGGCCTGCAAGTCAAAGTAGGACTTGAAGGACTTGGCGGCCAGGATCAAGCCTGAACTCGGAACGTCCAGTCGATGCAGGAAGCCAAAATTGCAGGCAGGATCCTGAAGAATGGGCATCCTCTGCTGACCGACAAGGCTTCTGACGTACTGCAGGAGCTGCTGTGTCTCTCGAGCGTCGGCACTTTCATCGTGAACTTCCCAGCCAGGTGGCTTCAGAATCGCCAGTGTCTCCGACAAGTCCAACACAACTCGCGGAGCTTCGACGCCGACCGGACTGAAAGTCGCATTGGATAAGGAGGCTCCCGCTGGTGCTCCTGTGCCCTTTTGGCCTTTGTCCAAGCCTCGACCATGCCGACACAAAGCGCGCCATGCGACCATGTAAAAGCCTTCCATCAAGCCACTGCTGAAACTGCAAGACCACACCACTCCCAGGATGCATCGAACGAGTTCCGGGCTTAGGACGACACTAGAAGTGCGAGCAATTCGGCGTAGCAGCTCTGCTTGTATAGCTCGCAACACGGAAACTTGCAGCAAAGGACCCTTGCCCGACACCGCCCAGGCAACCAGCATCAGCTCCTTGTCCGGGAAGTCCTCGAGTCTCTCTAGGGACCTTGCCGCCAAAGCCTTATCAAAGCGAGGACTGGAGGCCTGCAGCACGGACAGAGCCCACCAGAGCCGCGTCAAAGTCTTCGTGCCCGCCTCCGGGGCGCTGCCGTCTTCTTGGGCCTCCGCCAGGGCGCCCAAGAGCCGCTCCGGCTGCGGGGAGCGACGCGCCGAAGGCGACAGCTGGGCCAAGACCGCGAGTTTCGCAAGGGCCCAGAGCCGAAGGGGAGGGTCGAGCCCGGGCTTTTCCTTTTCCAGCAAATCTTCGAAGTCGTTCAGCCGCCCCGCAAGAGCCAAATTCCCCAAAGCTGCCGACACCAATACCGGATCAGAAGAGGTCTCCAAAAGAGCAGAGAGGCAGAGAGGCCACGTGGAGACACCTCCGTGGCGCATCGCCTCAATGCGGCCCGTGGTGGCCGCCGCCGTCACGGCCGAAGGCGAGCCGCCTCCCCAGAGCAGTGCCCTCTGCCAGGCCTCTTTGCCTTTGCAGGCGACGGTGATCAAGTTGTGGGTGCCGGCATCGGGCTCGACGAAGCTTCTGCGACACGCTTGAAGACATCCAAGTGCCACCTTCCAACCACCTTTGCCGAGAGCAGAAATCACCACGTTCCAGCTGATGACATCTGTCATGGGCTGGAGGAAGAGGCGATGCAGCGCCTGCAGCCACCTTCTGGCCTTTGCACAAGCGCTTAGCATGGCATTGCTACATGCCAGACCACTCCGGGAGCTGAAAGGAAGCTCCAGACAGCGCAAGGATGATTGCCATCGGCTGCCACTCTCATAAGCACTCACGAGTGCATGGCAGGTGCAAGCATCTGGTTCTAAGCGTTCCGTCTCCATCGTCAGCAGCCCAGCAACGGCATGACTCCATGTGGCTACATGGCGACAAGCGAATATTCCTGAATTGTAACTGAACTCGTCGACTGCAATCGTACGCGCCCTTATCAGCTTCAGCAAACTGGCAGCCTGATGCCATCCACGCCGACGTGCAAGATCTGCCAAAGCGACGCTGCAAACGACTGCTGTGCTTCTTTGGCAGCGCCTCTGCTTGAAGTTCGCGAGATGTTCAACGGCAGCGGCCCAGCCCTCAGTGGCCCCTGGTTGCATCCACTCCTTTCATGCCATGCCTCGCTTGAGCCTTCGCGGCACTCAGAAACGATCAGATTTGAAAGGGCCTAGGCCTAAATCGGCCCAGACGAGACGATTACGGGCGACTCCGGATTTTCTGGGTAGGTGCAAGCCGCCGCGTGAAAGCCTTCCAGGGTTTCCAGGCAAGCCACCAGCTCCAAAGGCAGCGGCTCCTCGAAGCTCTCGGCCACCGCTGCTTCCGCCGCCGTGTTCACGAAGAATTTCAGGCGGGAGCGGTGGAGGAAGTGCCGAGAGCACAGCCTGGCATCCTCCCGCCAAGCCTTCGCGGACGCGTACTTGGCATCGCCTTAGCTGACACACAAGAAAGGCTCCTCCACTCTTTTTGAAGCTATCGGATCTCTTGCCTTCGATGCTCTTGAGCTCTCGCACACGTAAGCTGAGGCAACATCTTTGATCTCAACATATGCAGCTGTGCTGCAAACGATCGGGTGCCCAACATGCGCGCAGTGGCTTCGGATCTGATGTCGGCGTCCCGAATCAATCAAAATCACCGCGAGGCTGAAGGTCAGAGGACCTTTCCAGAAAGACCTCGTCACAGCCAGACAGGTGCAAGAAGGCTTGCCTGCCCCGCCCGATCGCGTGGGCCCAAGGGACGAGTCCCAGAAAATGCCGGCTCGGATCTCTCTCGAGCTTTGAGGCAGGATCCCGTGGCACAAGGCAGTATACTCCCGCGTTATCATGCCGGCTGCAAGCTGAAACTTGAAGTTGTAAAAGGCTTCATATGACTTTGCAGCGAGTAGAAGCCCGGAGCTTGGAACATCTAGGCGGTGCAAGAAGCCAAAGTCGTGCGAGGAATCAAAAGTGATGGGCTTGCCGTGGATCTGCAAGCACGAGGCGACCTGATTCTCGACATTGCGGTTATGGACCTCCCAACCGCAGGGCTTGAAGACAACCCAGCACTCAGGGAGGTCCGCTTTGATCCGAGGCCCCCCGGCATCCTGGTACCAGCCTACCCGCTGCAAACGGCCTGCAGGGCCGGCACGCTCGCGCTTCGATCTCTGTCTTGGTGGTGTCACGCATGAAGCCCCGGATGGGCTGCCATCCAAGAGTCCTCCCAGGCCTTTCAGCTTCCTCTGCAAAACCTCCCTGAAACGGCTGCTGGTCAAGGAACATCGCGAGTAGGACCAAAGTGCTCCCAAAGCATCCCGCAACAGCCCTCGCAGCGACTTTATGGGCATGTGGCGCAAGGTCATGGGGAGCTCCAAAAGCTCCAACCTTCTGCACATGTCTTCCTGCACGGCCTGCAGTTCCTTCACCGACTCCGGAGAGTCCGTGGCGGTGGCTCCCAGGACCCAGGCCAGCAGCATCAGGTCCCGGTCATTGAAAGCCTCCAGCTGCAGCTGCGAGAGAAGGCAAAAGCCTCCTGCCAGAGCCCCTCCCTCACTGCGAAGGCCAAGCATACAGAAAGACCAGGCGACGACCGCCAGCTCGTGGCAGCTCAACCCTTCCTTTGCGATCGCACGGCCCACTTCACGATGCACACCCTGCAGAGCTTCTGGGTCTCGCGATGTTGGCGACAGGCGCACGAGAGTCGCGAGGCACCAGAGGTACGTGCAAACGTCCACCGCTTCCCCGAAGTCTTCCAGCAGCTCGAAGCACGCGAGCACGGATCGGCGCCTGTCCGCCCTGTCCGCCCTGTCCGCCAGGCTGCTGAGGCCTCGGAGCGCCAGGGTCAGAGCCGCGGCCGTGGCCGGAGCAGAGGCTTCGCGGCTCCCCGCCCTCAACTTCCGCAGGGCACGCTCCCAGGAGAGCGCCTGCGGCCCCGGCCCTGGCGCTTCCCCGAAGGCAAATCCCACATCCGACTTTGAGACTCGAGGCCGAGGCTCGGAGAGGGAGAAAGCAAGGCCTTGTCTCCAGGAGCTGAGCTGCAGCTCATGGAGGAGGCTCCGAGTAAGGGTGTCTCTTTGCAGCTGCCGGCTGGGCATCTCAATGAGCATCCGCAGACCCGCACGCCAGGATTGCAGCGACGCCGTAGCCTTCGTAGCCATAGAGCCGATGGTATTAATCATGCTTGCATCTGGTGGCATGAGCCGACAGAAAGATAGCGCTCGCTCCCATTCTGGGCTGGTGCGAAGAGCAGCAAAGAGACTGCCCAGGCTCATTCCGACAGGACGCGAGGGCAGTGAGGAGCACATGGTCGAGAACAGGCCTGCGGCACGGTTCCAGTCCTGTGAGCTCATGGCGTTGCTGTAGCTCACCGTGTCCGGTCGATGACTGCGAGATTTTAAGATATCCAAAGACGCCAAGGCCACCTGCCAGGCAGCCTGCCAGCTCATATGCCGGCTCAAGGTATTGAGGCTCACAATGTCTGGCCGCAAGCCCCGCTGCTCCATGCCTGAGCAAAGTCCCACCGCTTCAATCCAGACCGGTCTGCAGGTATGGATCGCCGCATTGTACATGATGCTGTCGCAGGTCGTCGCCTGCAAAGCAAGGCGAAGCTGCAACGCGTGCAACGAACGCTGCCAACGCACCGCAAGTCGAGGCCCGGGCAGTTGCCAAGAGCGCCTTCGCCCGAGGCCATGCGTTGCTCTCGCTCCGGGCCAGGGCCGTGATGGCAGCGCTGGTGCAGCGCTGCCCTCCTCCATGCGTTCCCAAGCCCCGAAGAACTGCGAGGGCGCTCTGCCACTGTGCTGCCCTGCTTTGGGCACCCAGCACAGCCTCCGCCACAGCAGCATGAGATAGGTAGGGCGCGACCCGACTTCGGACGATCCACGAACCTATCGCTGTAGCTTTTGCCCAGGACAACTGTCGGTTGCAGAGTGTCTCCAGCACAGAGCCACGATGGTGTGATGGCTGTATCCGTTCTTGAGTCCCTACATCGAAGTCAGAGATGGCATTCGCCCAAACTGGCCACATGCCGTCGTCTCGGGGCTCTCATACTTGGCGAGCGCGGATCTCGCGACTGAACCAGGCTCAAGCAATGGCGGCCCTTTGGGACCGAAGCCCTTTGCCCACTTGGCTTCGACGCTGCTTCTGGGCCACTTTCTGGGCCTGAAGCAGCCCTTCCAGACCATCCCACCATCAGCATTACATCATGAACCTCTCTCGAGAGCCGGAAAAAGGCTCGAATGCCATTCAAGCGTGACCTCTTCAAAATGCACGGGCATGCATACACTCTTGCCCACAAAAGACCCACCCTCGTCACAGCATGTTTGAGATGCTGGGAGCGCACTTCGTGCGGAGCGCGCGTGCGCACGCGCATGGGTCGGAACGCTCAGTCGTCCTCGATGTCATCAAGGTCTGCGTCCTCCTATGAGCGAAGCTTCGCTGGCGAGCTTTCAGAAGCTACGCTAGGGCCCGCCTCGCCGAACAAAGCAGCATCGTACACCAGGACATCGGACCTTGCACCGAAGGCAAAACGCGAAAGCATCGGCCTGACCGCGAGCTCGCAGTCGATCTGTGTCACAGCACAATGACTGGGGTTGCGTCTTTCCAGCGGGATACCCGTTCTCCTCCTTCTTGCCTCCAGAGCTCGCGAGGCTGGGCAGCAAGCAGCAGAGCACTTCAGAATGCCAAGGTCCCGCACGTTCCTCTCCTTCTTGGCCTTGCATGAAAATCAACTTACCTGACCTGCTCAGAGGAAGCAAGCTTCCATCCTCGACATTCAAATCGCAAAGTGCTCCATGGTCCTTGACTTCACTTCGTCTCGCTTCAGGACCCCACTCTCAATCATCTCCGCATCAAACTTCACCTGGCACCGAGACCGAGACAACCTGCCTCTCTTAGGTCGGCTGCCGGTTCTGTGAGAGACAACGAAGCTCTCACCCGCCATTGCCACCACATCAAAAAGCTTTCAACGCGGCGGTCGTAGACAACTCCATCCAAGACATTGCAAGATAACAAATCTAACTGGCCCTGATTGGCTTGTCGACAACAGCCAGACAAGGGTTCGAGGCCGAGGTGTTTGTTGATAAGTTCATGTCGGCCTAAACACACGTCGCGGCTCAACGAGAACGGCCCACTAAGCCAAAAGCAATTGCCGAGCCCGACTGCAGACCGTGCCCCGGTGGCCTTCCAAGCTGCGAAACTCTCGGCCGTGATCCGCTCGCTCTCGGGACAGAGGGCCTTCTCCGTTAAACCTGACCCGGACAAAACCGTCAGCCGCAGAACCTTTTCTGGAGACACCGAGCTGGCCGCCCTTCCACTCCGGCTCCTCCTCTTCTTCTTCCTCCTCGCCCTCCTTAAGTCGGCTGAACGGTGCTTTTGCATAATATCCAAAAGCCGACGGTCACGACAGCCTCCTCGTCTTCGTCGTCGTCCTGCACAAGCGTTTGATCGGACTTAGACATCTTTGCAAAGATCGTTCCGACACGCCTCTCCAGCTGTATGCCGCAGCATCATCTGCTCGTGCATAGACAGCTCCTTCTGGTTGTTATCCTTTAGAAAGTCCTGCAGCGGCACAGGCTAGACTGTTTGGAGAAAGGAAGGGTCTTCAAACTCTCCCAACCAACACACACACACACACACA